AATTTTTTTTCTGGATTTTAACAAAAATATATGCGTATTTTTTTTTTAATTGTCAGAAGGGGGTTTAATAAAAAACTAGTATTAAGTTAATTTTTTTAAACACAAAATCTTTTGTTTAAAGCCAAATATTTGATGCGACTTACTGCTGTGCGAACTCTAATGAAGACTCCAATGCAATAGCATTCGGTATATCTTCACCCTCCAAACCATCCTCATCATTGCGTCCATCAGTGTGCCCATCCTTGCGCATCGTCGAATTGCTCATTATGCAACCGACTTTGATGAGACGATCACCCTGTGTTTGCACGTTTCGATTATTTTGTATTACTATCAACGCGGATATGAAAATTCTGTAATTCAAAGTAAATATGTATGCTAATAAATACGTATGTATGTACATACGGGTTTGAGTAATCAATAATTGGAAAATAACCAAATTATTACTTTGCTTCGATGATTGCTAAAAGTGCCTACGTACGCTTACCTTTGATATGCTTTGGTGACTTCGTAGGCACGCAAAATGCCGCAACGATTCTCTTTGACCTCGGTGCCGATCGGCAGACGTAACACTGTGCTACTTGTGCCGTTGCCTTGCACCATACACTGCTTTGAATGCATGCTGGCATACATTTTACCATAAAACCAATCTTTCGGCGTATATTTGATGGCCATTTCGTCTTGTGTGCACAGCACCTGTACTGTGTGGGGAAAAATGGAAACAGTTGTTTTTTTTTTTTAATTTTATTTTAGGAGTTTGTAAGCATAAGGTACCATCTAAACACTTGACACGCCGCATATAGACAGACTTCTCTCTTAGTTTCAGACTGCGGGGTCCCATCGATATAATATCCTCCGAGTGTAGTAGACATTCCGAATTGGTCAGATCGCGCTCAAAATAGAATGACACGCCTTGGCAATAGAATTTCGTTTCATGTGAGCACAATGATTGACACTTCAAAGAAAATTTTAAATTATACAGTGTAAAATTCAATTATAAATTGCGTTTTGTAATATAAATTATTAGCCATAACTACAAACACTCACACACACACACATTAACTAATACTAACTAATAAAAATTTATACATACGTTTACAAAAATAATTAATTAAAATTTTATATGTACATATGTACTTTCAATCGAAGCTTTGAGTTGATTGCATGTCAGTCGGATTATTGTAAAAAGTTCACTATTTTTATTTTTTATACAATCTAAATCCCATGTTTTTGTCTTCAACATCATACTACCATCAATACTACAAACAACATAGACAGACACACCTCCTTTTGGGTTAGACCCAAATATTTTGCTTCCGCATAAATGAAGCTACTGTTCGCATACAATTCGTATGAACAGCTATCGTTCTCGATCGGTCGCTCGTAACATTGATTTTCCATGTATTCTTCGTCATAGGGTGCAGCCCGGAATGCATCGGGTTGTATCATTTTATCTTTATCACTGAGTATACAACGTCCCAATGTGTTGGGTTGTGACTGATGTTGTTGATGTTGTTGCTGCTCTGCTTGTGGCACATGTTGACTGAATCTGATCGATTGATAAAAAAGAAAAAAATCGTAAATGTGGCATTAACTTGATTAGCGACATTAGCATCTACATAAAATAAACAATACTACGCCCACATTTATGTACATACACGTGTAAGTCCATTAGGGTGCCCATCGAAGTTTTTTTTTGTTTCAAATTTCAAGACCCTACCCCGTAATTTCCTTCCATTTTATGAGAAATATTATTGCCTATTGTTATAGATTTCTTAAAAATCATTTAGAGGTACGATTTTGTAGATTTATCAGTTGACTATTTTTCATTCAATTTTAAAGAGTTGTTGGTGTAAGTTTTCATAGGGCAAATAAAACGGAAGGCCTTGAATTTATACATATGTGTGTATGTACCGGACTTTTAGAATTTATAGCAGTTTGGCTAAGGAATTCATCTATATTTATTCAAAATTTATATATGCAATCGTCTTTAGTAAAAAAGTGCGTTTTCAAGAAGTTTTAGGACAATGAGGGTGGCACCGCCCACATACATATGCATATGATATATATGCGTATCTCGAAAACGACCTGGCCAATCTCGACCAAATTAGGTATACACATTGTGTTTAGGCTCCTCATGCACCATGTTGATTTTTGAAATCGGATAAAAACCACGGCCTCACTAACGTAACGGTAATTTGAAAAACTCAAAGCTAGCTATATTTTAGGGGCAGTTGGTTTTGTCCGATTTAAAAAATATTCAATATGGTGCTTATAGAGCAATGATGGGCAAAACGCTACTCGCGAGTAGCGTCTGCGTCGCAGCGCTTATACGTATACAGAAACGACGCAGCGAATTTCAATTCAGTCTGCTTTCAGTTTTCATGAGAGTAACGCCACGCTTCGCCGTTGAATATTTTTATTCGTAATTTTAGCGCGTTGTTGCCACCTATATATGTAACAATGCCCAAAATGGCTGCGTATGAGTGCCAATTACAGTTTTTGGTTTTAAGAAAAGCCAATAACGCCCAATGCTTGTTATGTGGTAATACGACTACTTGGAATCGTACTTTTAATATAAGGCGACATTATTTGTGATGGCAAAAAAGTCAAACTACCGAACTGTGTAAACCAATTTAAAGTTTTTTGTAATGGGTTTTATGTATATATGTATGTACGATACGGCGATTTAATATATTTAGTATACTTTATTGAATACTGAGTTTTTTACACAGTTTAGAAATTTTAAATTCGTGAATTTTGTTGTTGAATAAACTATCATTTTTTAAAACATTAGTTTAATGAAATTAAATTAAAAAACTTTTCATGCACGTACATATGTACTTATAAAAATTAATTTCATAATTCATTATTTGAAATTATTTATTCATTATTTTTTTATTATATTTTATTATTTTCGTTTCATGTTCATAAAACAAATTATATATAAATTTGTAAGAGCGTTTTCTAACACGCGCAAAAAACGACGCACTTTTGTACAATATAGAAAAGTGGCAACTGTTACTCAGCGCGATTCACGAATACCATGACAAAATGAGACTGTATTGGTGTGCCCATCTATGTTATAGAGCCTAAGCAAAATGTGTATACCACATTTGGTCGAGAGGGGTTAAGTAGTTTTTGAGATGTGCATATATCATTTAAGTGGGCGGTGCCACTCCCATTTTCCTAAAACTTCTTGAAAACCCACTTTTTTGCTAAAGAGCGATTGTATATAACAATTTTGAATAAATAAGTCTGAAAGTCCGGTAATTGAAAAGCAGAGTGACGAACAAGACTACGCTCTAAAAATTTGTCCATATACCCGACCTTATAGATCGCGCGGAAACCTGAAAGATGACGTGGAAAGATGATAAGGCTTTGGGTGCTTTTGAGATCATTGTTCTACGCAAAATCTATTGCCCTGTTCGCGTGGGTGACGAGCACCGAAGACGGAATGGCGAACTATACGAGCTTTGTAACTGCATGGATATAGTTAAGCGCATAAAAATATAACGATTTCGCTGGCCTGAGTATGTTGTGCACATTTAGATGAAGAGGCTTCAATCAAAAGATCCTTCGATTCGGCACGCATGTACGGCGACCCACGAACAAATGAAAACTAAGTGCAGAAGAAACTGCCTGCACTCGGGATTTAGAACTGGCAAATCTCGCAAAGAAGAAATGTAATTGGCAGAAGAAGAAATGTAATTGGCCAAATAAGAAGAGGAATCATGGAAAATATAAAATTGCCCGAAACAGGTCTCAACCCAAGAGCTACAAGTATTAGAAATGCTGTGTTCACTCGTTGCTATGCCTTTCGGAGCACGATCAGGTCGAGCGCACCTTCTCACGAGAGTCGGATACCTGTACGTTGGCGGAACTGTTTATTTCCGGTTATTGCCAACTGGCACGGATATATTTATGTACGTAAATATGTGCATGTGCCTGTATTCTTGGCCCCGAAGTTGGCGTTTCGGTTATCAGTAAAAAAAAACTCTTTGATTGTGCTAATGACAAATTGTTGAGATCATTTATATGTACTTATCAGCAAAAAAGATATTATAAAACTTCAAATACGCATAATGTGGGCTAATTAGTGCTAATTTAGCTCATGGTCTTCAAGCATTTTATTGCTATTGTTTATTTTATAGTGCTAAGCAAAAAGTACTCGTCACTAAAGTAAATAATCACTTAATCACAAATTCTATTTCCTGTTTCTGAAATTGTTGCGGCACAGCATTTTTTTCAAAAGTCTGAAAGTGACTATGATTCCATTAGTGATAACAGGTATGTATATTTTGCACCAGTGTGTGTAAATATGTACATACATATATACATATAGTATGTTCAATAGCGAATACAAGAAGGCGGAAATAAGGTGCAATTTTAGCACATCGCATACGTTCTTCAGAAGTGAATTACTTATGTAAGTAAAAATTTGGCGTTAGTGAGAAAACGCAATAAACTATTTCTTAACTAAATTAGTCATTATAACGTATGTATTTATATATGTACGGTATCACAAGTAGGTTTAGTATTAACACTAGAAAGACGGACAGGGGTCTCTATTAAATTTTAGGTTATTTTTAAAATGAATGAATAAAGAAATTGTAATTTAAAATTCTGCTAAAATTTATTTAAAGGATATGTTGATTTTTCAGTTTTTCGGCGCTAAGCTAGTGCTCGCTGTTAATGAACTTATTGGCTTTAGACCTGGTAACTCTACCATAGACCAGATATTCGCTATAAACATCGCAAGATGCGATGCCTGAATTCGGTATCTTCGCGAAACTATTAAGGCTGTGTAAAATTACGTTGAGCAGTTTTACCAGATCAGCCAGGATTAGGAAGGACCACTCCCAGCCGATCGATACCAAATGAGATTTATCGTACGATATTTTTCTTCTGATGCTGGCGGAGATAATACTTAACAGTTACAAAACTAAATTGCTCAGGTATAATCTTTATACGATGACATCGAGATACTAGGCCTCAAAAAATGCTATACTTGTTCTGCTTATTCCAAGTAAGTAATCGAAGCGAAGCGAATGGCCTAGTGGTGAACAAGGAGAAGAATTAGTTTGAAAAATTGTAAAAAATGTCATTTAAACTGAACATTATGCTGACTACACACGAGACAACTCTGCGGTCAAGCAACGCTTGCGGCAACACCGCAATAGCCGAAACAACATGACTTGGTTGCTTCAACGATTCTCACGTGTGCAGTCAGCATTAGAAAAGTTAAAGACACATGTTCTTCTTGAAGCTGAATGAAGTCTTATTAGGCAGGTTCCAAAAGATCCTAAGTTCAATTAGCATCTAACACATTACATATTTAGTTTTTGATTTTTGATTGGGTTTTGGTAAATATGAAATATAATCTGTGAAGTTCAGAACCACAGAGTATTTAAGCAAAAATATTTCTGAGCAAACATAATGTTAGTGTTTGGTGAAGTCCTCCCCCGAATTGTGGCGTGCGCCTTGATGTTGTCACATAAAGGTAAGGAACCTACAGTTTTACGCCGACTCTTTGATGACTAAAACTTTTTTTTCGGTATTGGTCGAACCCAGATTCTGCGGAATGACAGCGTGCTCTGCTATCCACTACACCACAGCGATCGCCAACCAACTAAACAAGTTACAGTGACTCAAACAAATGACCACGTGTTTTTTTTTTTAATATTCGTAATATTTTCCTAGCCAAATTCTTTAGTTATTTTTGTATAAAAATATCTTTTAAGCTTTAACCAAACCCGCGTAAATCACAGTTTTAACTTTATACAAAATTTAAGAAAATTCAACAAATTTTCAACAAAATTTCATTTCTGAATTGCTAGACAATTTTCGGGTATGCAGTTTTATAGCCCATACAAATTTACTCTAATGAAGTGCAAGTTTCAAACGGCTAAAAAATCGCGTTGATTTTTGAGGCAAATTTTTCGGGGGTTTTAATATAACAAGCGCAATTTACAAAAACTTGCGTTGATATTTTGAATTTTTTTTTGTTGACGGTTACAAGAATTTCAACATAGGGTGAGCGGCAAGGTTTATTTCTTAGTGTTTGCTTTTCTCCTTTCGTTTGCTAGTAGTAGGAGGAATTATCCCCTTCGACTTGTAATCTTCTTGTTTCAATTGGCATAAACTGCAGTTAAGACTTGGTGGGAATGAACTATAAAGCTTAGACGATATTTTTATATAAAAATAACAAAAAAAAAAATTAGATCGAAGAACATTACAAATATTTGAAGAAAATCTACACGTGGCCATTTGTTTGAGTCACTCTATATCTGTATTTCCATACAATTTATGTGGAGGCCTGGCCATACCATAGGTAGGTGTATTGCACTAGGTATAAGCATAAGGGTAAAAGGAATTCTTATTTTTATTTACTAAATTAAATCATTTTAACTCATAAAAACTTAATATGTATATTGTACGTGCCTAGTATCGCCATATCAGCTGTCTTTTGAATCTAACTAGTTTTTGACGATTTGTGTGGGTGTTATGAGACGCGGAATGATAAATACATAGCGATGACCTTATTAACTCGTGTGAGTTGTGTGAAACGTGCTAGCTTATATCATTATCACATGTACGAATATGTGTATACTTAACTGTATGCAAGTATGTATGTAGATGGTAGCACTTGACTGACTATCATCGTTCGCAACAATTATACAGTAAATAATATTTACTAAAAAAAAAAAAAAAAAATTTGAAATAACGTAAGTGAATAAATAACAGAAACTACACAACTACAAAACACGAAGATGAGCAAATATACGTTCGCTCACAATTATTATAATTTATTTTTAAAATTTTTTAAGTAAAATTGTTAAAGCAAAACAAGATATAGTAAATAATTTACTGCATCAAATTGCTATTCCCGTATTGAATAACCGCATCGCTATCGCAAATCAGCATCTAACTACGTAACAATGAGCTCATACAACTTGAGAACGCTGCGCATCATTTTCCATTTTCAGCGCTCAAACACAATTGATAAAGCCATAGAACTCCTATTTGGAATTTCATTCCGTATTGTGTTTGCTTTTAATGGAATTTACTTCTCTCACCACCTCAAAGGCCGCCCACCACCCGCTGCTGCTATGAGCACTTCATAATTAGTAGATATGTACTTGTACTTTCATTTACATACACATATACACTTAAATACCTTTCACGATTGTTACGATATGATGGCGCAAATGATGCGGACAGACATTTGAATTCGATTTCGAATAGACATCGTTCGGCGCATTCGCGTCGCGTAACTAGCGTCGCTATTGTTTTCTTTCCCTGAAACACCAAGCTCGTACCGGGAATTTTTGTAAGCGTCCATTTGCGTTGTTTGCACACTTCAGGTACTAAAAGATAACAAAAAAAAAAAAAATAAAACGAAAAAAATCGATCGAAAATGGCATGGACGCGCAGCAATAAGCGGAATTTTCAAGTTAATAAGGTAAATTAGCTGTTATTATTGCTATGTGCCGCCACCCACCTTTCAAACAGGTCTTTTCATAGAAAACCGCCTCAGCATCCGCAACCAATGGCAATTCATCGGCTATTGCCTGATAGCGGGTCGTCCGTTCGAAATACGAATAACCATAGCATTCGTTTGAGTCCAGCAGATGGACGTAGGCAATACAGTCGCTATCCTCACTACACATCCGCCAACAAATGGCGCTCGCTGTGTCGCTGGCAATTGCCAGTTCCTGGCGTTCACCTTCTGGCGCGCCCACTATGCTGTAGCTTTCGCGACGATGGCGATTGCGATCTTTAAAATTGTATGCCGGCGAGTAGATGAGGTTTTGTGTGGTTAGGTATTCAAGTGGCGGCCGGAAGCCAACAATTTTCTGCAGATGCATTTGATAAAGCGGACATTTGAGTAGAAGAGCATCTGAATCTGGAAATAGACAGGTAAATAAGATTAGGTTGTACTTCATTAAAGTTTGTGAACAAACTTAATTTCAGATTCTCTTCAAGTAACATTTAAAATAAATAAATATTCTAAGACAACATACACTGCGCTTCACTTGAATATATGTATATTATTCAGCTGGTTTTCCTTAAGGCAGGGCAGCATTTTTAGTTATAAAGCATAGTTCCGAGAACGTTTTGGTGGTGCATAGATAAATTTGCAACAAAGTTAATTCTTAAGTTCGTGTTATAATCTTAAACGCTTGCTAGTCAAAGAAAAAAAATTTTAAATTATTATTATTTATAAATTACAATAAATTTTACACAAAAAAAAAACAATAATATATTCGCGAAACTATGGGTAAATTGTAGTAAAACTGCGTTCTTAGTTTTT